CTTCTTAGTCCTGTGTGAAATGGACTGCCTGTGGAGGGCAGGTAACTGGGAAGAGGTCTGTGAGGTCAGTAGAATATACATAACATGAAAGTAGAGGGGGATACTATTGGGAGTGGAAAGAGTTAAGCAGGGAATGGGATTAGGAGGATAGGGAAAATAAAAATTATGGGAGGAAGACAGTAAACCAAAATAAAAATATGGAAAAAACGTATGGAAACCTACTATTTTCTAAACCAATTTTAAAAATATGAAAATACTTCATAAGGCGATGCATTGCATTACTAGATAACCTGCCCCTAGAAGCAATGAGACACTAAACAAAACCCCCAGAACCGTCTATAGGCACTGCTGGTCAGGGAGGCCCTAGAGGTTCCCAATACAATACAGGCTCTTGCCTTTCTTGGTTGCCCACCAGAACTACATGTTAAGACCCTAATGCTGAAGACACCAAATATCTTAGTTGCAAGATACAGAGAAATCAAGGTGGAAATGAGCCGACAACCTAATCCTGGTGGCTAGCTATTAAAGTATTGGAATATACCATGCAAGCTGCCAGGGTAGAAAAGATATTAAGGGTCTAACCCAGCAGAGAGCTATGCTAAGACCTTTAGCATCAACCTGGTAGACATGATATATCCACATGCAAAATAGTACCATGAATGTTATGGGGGTAACCAATTTTAAAATATTATGTTTCAGACCTGCCCCCATAGAAGAGAAACCATGCCTACTACTGTAAACCTCATCAAAAACCCATTTGTCAGCAGGTCATATGCCCTAGACAAATTTGTAATAATCTTTAGATAAATCAAAATAACATCAAGCCTCTCTTTGCAGTGAATGGTGTAAGAAGTGACAAGTGAGGGCTTATTGATAAACAAGCCATATTCCCATTTAAGGCTCAGGAAAAGCCTCATGGAAGAGGGAATGCAAATAATTTAAGAGCTGAAAAGATAGGGAGCAAGGTAGAGTTAAACTATCCCCTATACACAGCACAGCTAATTTAATAATAAACTACAGCAGCTTCAGTTTCTTGTATTAAACCTGCACAAGACTGGACATCTCAACATTCAGTCATGGTTGGGGACAAACGTTATGGGCCCTTGTCCCTTCCTGTGGAACCACTGGATACTGAAAGATGTGGGAGGAGGAGATCCACTGTCTTCAGTTGTATACCTACTAGGCACCCATGAGTCTCCAACTGATTAATTCCAGCCCTGTGGTCAACAGAGACGGCACTGGTCAAAGCCAAACCACACGAACACAAAGATGAGAGTGTGGGGAAGTGCTGAATAGGGAAGAGCAAGAGGAGGACAAGGAAGGAAACGAGAGGCTGGGCTGAGAGTGCATCTCTAAGTTTGTCAGTGAGTGTGCCTGTGCATTTACTCTCATATTGATCCCTTTCAAAGTAAAGTGCCCCACTTTTTCTTCTAACATGTGTCTGGTTTTATGCTGGTTTTATGTCTTTGATCCACTTAGACTTTACTTTGTGCAGGGTGATAAATATGAGTCAATTTGCATTTTTCTACATATAGACGTCCAGTTATACCAGTACCATTTGTTGAAGATGCTATCTTTTTTTTTCCATTGTATGGTTTAGGCTTCTTTGTCAAAAATAAAGTTTCTGTAGGTATGTGGGTTTATTTTTGGATCTTCTATTTGATTCCATTGATCCACCAGTCTGTTTCTATACCAGTACCATGCAGTTTTTATTACTGATGCTCTATAGTACAGCTTGAGATCAGGGATGGAGGTACTGCCACAAGATCTTTTATTATAGAGGACTGTTTTAGCTATTCCGGGTTTTTTGTTTTTCCATATGAAATTGAGAATTGATCTTTCAAGGTCTGTAAAAAAAAATGTGTTGGTATTTTGATGGGAATTGCATTGAATTTGTAGATTGCTTAGGATAGGGTATCCATTTTCACTATCTTAATCCTACTGATCCATGAAAATGGGAGATCTTTCCATCTTCTGATATCTTCTATTTCTTTCTTCGGAGACTTGAAGTTTTTTTCACTTGCTTGGTTAAAGTCACTCCAAGGTACTTTATGTTATTTGTGGCTATTGTGAAGGATGTTGTTTCCCTAATTTCTTTCTCAGCCCGTCTGTTTTTGGTATACAGGAGGGCTTCAGATTTTTTGAGTTAATTTTGAATCCAGCCACTTTGCTGAAGGTGTTTATAAGCTGAAGAAGTTCTCTAGTAGAATTTTTTACCTCATTGGCACAGGAGACAACTTCCTGACCAGAACAACAATGGCACAGGCTCTAAGGTCAACAATCAATAAATGGGACTTCACAAAACTGAAAAGCTTCTATAAAGCAAAGGACACTGTCATGAGGACAAAATGACTGCCTACAGACTGGGGAAAGATTTCACCAACCCTATATCTGACAGAGAGCTAATATCCAGAATATATAAAGAACCCAAGAAGTTAAACATCAACAAACCAAGTAATCCATTTAAAAAATGGGGTAGAGAGCAAAACAGAATTGTCAACAGAGGAATATTGAATAGAAAAGAAACATTTAAAGCAATGCTCAATGTCCTTAGTCATAAGGAAAACGGAAATAAAAATGACCCTGAGATTCCACCTCATGTCCGTCAGAATGGCTAAGATCAAAAACTCAAGGGATGACAAATACTGAAGAGGTTGTGGAGAAAGGGGAACCCTCCCCCATTGCTGGTGGAAATGTAACCCTGTACAACCACTTTGGAAATCAATCTGGCACTTTCTCAGAAAATTAGGAAGAGTGCTACCTCAAGACCTAGCTATACCACACCTAGGCATATACCCAAAAAATGCCCCAAATGTGCTATAAGGACATTTGTTCAACCATGATCGTAGCAGCTCAATTCGTACTGACCAGAATCTGGAAACAACCTAGAAGTCCCTCAATGGAGGAATGGATACAGAAAGTGTGATACATTTACACAATGGAATACTATTCAGCTATTAAAAACAAGGAAATCATAAAATTTGCAGGCAAATGGTAGGAATTAGAAAAGATCATCCTGAGTGAGGTAACCCAGAAGAAGAAAGACACATATGATATATACTCACTTATAAGTGGATATTAGCAATATACTATAGGATAAACATACTAAAATCTAGAACCCTAAAGAAGCTATACAATAAAGAGGTACCTAGGGAAGACGTGTAATCTTCATTCAAAAGGGCAAACAGTATAGACATCGGAAGTAGAAAAAGACAAGGAACAGGATAGGAGCCTTCCACAAAAGGACCTGAAAGACTCTACCCATCAGGGTATCAAAGGAGATACTGAGCCTCATAGCCAAACTTTGGACAGAGTGCCAGCATTCTTATGGAAGAAGAGGGAGATAGGAAGACCTGGAGGGGACAAGAACTCCACAAGGAGAACAACAAAACCATAAAACCTGGGCCCAGGGGGACCTACAGAGACCATTACTCCAACCACTGTGAAGAAGACCTAGAGCCTTGCTCAGAGGAAGCCCATAGGCTGCTCAGTTTCCAAGTGGGTTCCTTAGTAAGGGGAACAGGGGCTGTCTCTGACAGGAAGGAACTCAGTGGCAGGCTCTTTGATCAGCTTTCCCTGGGGGGTGTATCCTTGCCAGGCCACAGAGGAAGACAAGGCAGCCAGCCCTGATGAGACCTGATAGGCTAGGGTCAGATAAAAGGGGAGGAGGTTCTCCCTATCAGTGCCCAAGGGAAAGGCAAAGGGGGAGAAGATGGAGGGTGGGTGGGACTAGGAGGAAATGAGGGAGGGGGCTACAGCCGGGATACAAAGTGAATAAATTATAATTAATTAATTAACTAATTAGAAAAAAAACAAAGCAAAGGATCACAGCTCTGAAATATAAATCCTTTACACTTTTCCGAATGAGAATAAGAACAGCATTTTTGTTTTGGGGAAAAAAAAAAAAAGGAAGCACTAAGGTCCTACAAATAAAAATAATAAGATGAAAGGTTTACTCATTTGACTTTTAAATGGATGAGTTCTAAAAAGCAATGGTGTGAAAATACTGAGAAATTCTATAAAAGCTATTTTATTTTCATTGTTATTAAACCTTTCTGAAAGTTACATTCTTCTATTCAGATGATCTGAGATAGGCCATCCACTCAAGTTCTGTTACCTGCTTTATATTATGCTTGCTTTTAAACTGCATGTGTCATTTATAGAAAAATGGATGGAACTGGCAATCAGTATATCAAACCAAATGCACCAGAATCAGAAAGTTGAACATCACATGATTTCTTTCATGTTGCCCCGGCTGGTCTTATGTCAGCTTGACAAATAAACTAGAGTTATCTGCAAGGAGGACTCTTAGTTGAGGAAATGCCTTTGTAAGACCTAGTTGCAAGGCTTTTTCTTTATTAGTTATTGATGGAGGAGGGCTCAGCCCATGGTGTATGAAATCAACCATGGGCAGGTGGCTCTGGGTTCTATAAAAAAGCAGGATGAGCAGTCATGGATAGCAAGCCAGTAAGCAGCACCTCTCCATGGCCTAAATGTATCAGCTCAGGCCTCCATGTTCCTGAGCTACTTGAGTTCCTGTCCTGATTTCCTTCAATGACGAACCGTCCAGGGAAGGGAGACTTTCCTTCCCAACTTGCTGTGTGTGTGTGTGTGTGTGTGTGTGTGTGTGTGTGTGTGTGTGTGTACGCATGTGCATGCATAAGTACACATGACACATAAAAGTAACAAATGGACTATGAACAGGGAGTAAGTCTAAAGAAAGAAAGAAAGAAAGAGGAATAAGAGACTAATAGGAAGAAAGAGGGAGGAAGAATAAGAGTTGATACAATATGAGAGAAGTAAAACAGTATTTATCTAAATGTATGAATGTACATACATAATGAAACCCATTATTTCATACATAAAAAATTAACACAAAATTTTAATAAAAAGATAACTTTAGATTTAATCCAAAATCTAATATCTAACTACATGAATTTAAAGCATGCATTTTTAACTCTCCATGTGGTTCAGTAACAGGAAATTTGGGGAAATCATACCTCATCCGTGTTATAGATTATCTGGAGACCTGAAGAAATCATTTCCACCAGGTAAAGGAGAAAGAGTGATACTGCATTTATCTGAAAACAAACAGCAAATAGTAAAGGTTAAGAGAAAGAATGAAAATATTACGCTGTAAAATTAAATATACTGTCATTTTCTCCAATAGTACAAGAAAAAAATAATTTCTCCCCTCACTAAATAAAAAACATGAACCTAAACCAGAACAGGAAAACCAGCATTTTATATGAAGTACTAAAATTCTAAATCCGCTTTGCTGATTCATGCCTCCCTCTGCTGCTTCCCTCCAGGTAGCATGGAGCTGGACTGGAGGGAAGGAAGCCCAGCCAGGTGAGGTTGAGTGCAGCACAGGATCTTGGTCAGTGCTGAGTGCTGAGTGCACAGGCAATGAACACACCTGAGAACAGTTTCAGGGAACTGATTCAGTTTATTGGGGGGAAAGGGAGTACTTATGAACTCAGGGAGGTGGCCAGGGTGTCTGGGGCAAAGTTTGTGTAGCGGTGCACCACTGGCTTTGTCTGCATGTTCAGGGGCTACAGGATTGTTGGGGCGAGGGAGAGGGGAAGATAAAGGGAGTAGGGCTTATAAGATCAAACAAGGAGTGAAGCCTGATAACTCTCAGGGTAATAAATTCTCACTAGGGTTGATAGTAGGAGAGCTGGCTTTATGGCTCCAGGTTGGGAGAGGAAAGGTAGCCAACTCCTATTGTCCCCATGTTTGAGGTATTCTGGGTTGAAGCTCCGTCAACCCAACCTTCCTATGTAAGCCTGGGCAATTAAGATCCCACAGGTTAACACGTGACTGGGTCTGAGAAGGCTATAAAGACAATTCTTAGCATGATTTCTGTAACATTTGTTTCCTTCGACTTTTAAATTAAGAATCTAAAGTACTTCCTTTTGAAATAATTTTGCTCCAGAGGAGCTTATATAATGCCATTCATTTGAAATAGATGTAAAAGAAAAAGCTATTTGAAAAGCAAGACATCACACCTCCACCAACACACTATAAACAATTAGGAGAGCATCTTGAAAACAGTCTCATTCAGACAAAACAGATTTTATGGAAACAAAGGAACATATGACCTATAATCATTGGTTTACCGTATAATTTAAAACTATAAAAAGTGTTAAGAAATTATTAGTCTATTAATATATGCTTTGTATAATCTAAACAAAACACAATGCTTCCTAATATAGCCAATAAAAGATTTGTGGTAGAATATAAATATCTTATATAAAGAAGCAGGAAAGTACAGTCTCCAATATGAACACAACCTCAGTGATGATTACTTTTCACTGTCAACTTCACTAGACACAAGGACACCTGGATAGCTAGTAATACACTGTCCATGGATGTGGAGCAAAGGCAGAGGAAGTGCAAATTCTTGCTTTTCCTGCCACAGCAAGGAGAGTTTTCTTCTGGCTTCAATGTTAAGCTCTAGGTTCTCAAGCTTTAGGGTTCCAGGGCTCACACATCATGCACCCTTTCCCCTCTAACTGAGAACCATACTTTCAGACTTCGCATGAGCTTCAATACTTGAATCCTAGTCATTCCTTGCAGATGGGCTGTTGTGGGACTCAGCATCAGTAATCATGTGAGCTGCCAGGTGTGATGGCATGTGCCTGTAATTGTACCACTTAGAAGGCTAAGTTATTTTAACACAGAGGTGCACCCAGTGTGAGCAACAGTGACACCTTAGCTCTCAAAAAGAAATTAAAAGTTACATAAGCTATTTCCCAAATATTACCTATCAACACACAACTCTGAACAGCCTGGTCTCAAGTATATATGCAAGCATATCCTTTCCCTCCCTCGCTATTGGCTCCTTAACTATGAAACCATTTGGTAATGTAGCTTTGATAATCAAAGAAGTCAGCAACAAAACATCCTATCTTATATGATTGCATTTAAATTTGAAATGTGAAGAAAAGGCATTCTAGAAGCATGAAGTGAAACAGGTTACTTAGGGAACTTCAGGAAAAATGCAGAGCAGCTGATTTTGCTTAGAGTTTGAGGGTGAAGAAATGTTCTAAAATTGAACGTGGTAATTGCTGGGTAGTCTTTCAGAGGCCCTCTGTGGAAAGTTCCTGTCCTCCTGAGACGTATAGCCAAACTTTGGGCAGAGTGCAGGGCATCTTATGGAAGAAGGGAGAGATAGAAAGACCTAAAGGGGACAGGAGCTCCACAAGGACAGCAACAGAGGTAAAAGACCTGGGTCCATGGAGGCCTTCAGGAACTGACAGACCAACCAAGGAGGATGCAGAAAGAGGACCTAGACCCCCTGCTCGGACAGGCAGCTCAGTCTTCATGTGGGTTCCTAGTAAGGAGAACAGGGGCTGTCTCTGACATGGACTCTGTTGCCTGCTCTTTGATCACTTCCTCCTAGTGTGTGTGGGGAGGGGCACAGAGGAAGAAGATTTGGGCTGTCCATATGAGACTTGATAAGCAGATGGCAGGGAAAGAAAATTCTCCCTTTCAGTGGACAGGGGAAGGGGATAAGTGAGAAGACAGAAGGAGGGTAGACTGAGAGGAACTGAGGGAGGGGGGATATATAATGAATAAATATTTAAATGAATATATAATGAATAAATTATTGAAATGATGAATATATGTAATGAATAAATTATTAAAAATAAATAAATAAATAGAAAGTTTTAATTACAAAAAATACTAGGTCCTCTAGTAGCAGAAGTGGAACAGGTGAGAGCAATCTGCAAGGTATACAGGACAGCAGGCCTCCATCTAAACCAGAGTCCCAACTTTCAATTATGATGTGCTGACATCCAAAGTAAAATTTTGTCTGAAATATGTATTTCCAGGATAAAATCAGCAGTCGACTTGATGGATGAAGAACCTGAGTCCTAGAGATAGGAAATGGCTGAGCTTACATCGACCCAGAGACCTTAGAGATGTCATTTTTCTTTCAATGTCAACTTCCTGCCTTAGAAAATGAAAGGCACTAAACAAGGTCTTAATAGTCTATCGTGCGTATAATGTGATGCAGGCAATGAGCCTAAGGATATTGCACATGACTTTGAATTTTCTTAATGAAAGGAGAAAAATAATTCTTCTTCTGTTTCAAAGATGAGTATCGTAAAAACCAAAATAAAGCCACATCTCCAATTCTAGGTCTGAGACAGTACATTCTAGGAAAGTTTCCCAAGAGTGCCTTTCATTTTTATAATTTTTATATAACTAACTACACATTTAAATTGTTTTATAATATCTTGCCTTGTTTTCATTAGCTACACACTATAAAGTATTTTAAGAATAGCAGAGTATTAAATACATAGAAATCTCTATTAAGACTTTGTTTTTTGTTTTTTATTATTTTTTTTCTTTATTAATTGCACTTTATTCACATTGTATCCCCCCCTGTGGTTCTCTCCCTCCTCCCATCCCAACCCTTCCCTTCCTCCACCCTCTGCATGCATGACCCTTCCCAAGTCCACTGATAGGGGAGGACTTCTTTTCCTTCCTTCTGATCCTAGTCAATTAGGTCTCATCAGGAGTGGCTGTGTTGTCTTCTTCTGTGGCCTGGTAATGCTGCTTCCCCCTCAGGGTGAGGTAATTAAAGAGCAGGCCAATCAGTTCATGTCAGAGACAGTCCCTGAGAAGATGGGTGTTTTGTTTTTTGTTTGTTTGTTTGTTTTATGGCTTTTTTCCAGATAAGATTTCACTGAGTTCCAGGACAGCCTGGAATTCACTCTGTAGACTAGGCTGGCCTTGAACTCACAGGAATCCACCTACCTCTGCCTCCTGAGTGCTGCGATTAAAGGTGTGCACCACCTCTGGGCTAGCAAGAAAGACTTTGAAAGTCTGAAACACCAAGAAATTTTCAATGTCTGAGATGATAGACATGCCAATTATCTTGGTCAGATAATTGTCTCTATTATTTAAAATTACATATACCAGGAATATATAGATGACCTATCAATTAAAAATATTTTCCATACACATATTCCATCACAAGAATTAAAATGATAAGTGTGAACACAAGGGAAAAAACTGTAATTCTACTCTTTAGAGAGACTGCTCTCTTTTGATATAATCTTTTTGAGACTTTTAAAGCCTTATAAATTAGTAATCCTAAGGATTTAAACTTTATTACATTTTAGATCTTTGTCCAGTGCATGCACATACACCATGGTGCATGAGTGGAGGTCAGGGGCCAGATTTCTGGAGTTGGTTCTCACCTTCCTAGGTCAACAGGTTGGGTGGTAGGTACCTTTACCACTGTGCTATCTCACTGATCCAAAGTTTATTTGCTTAAAGGAAAATTAATGTTACACACTTTGCATTTTGATTTTAATAATCTATAATAAAGTTTTCAAAAAATACAGTTAACTCCATCATCACTAAAAACAAGCATAACTTTCTCCTACACAGAAACAGGGCAAAGTACTTTCTGTGCTTGGAGAAAATATACTAAAGTTTGAAATTCTTTTGAATTTATAACAAGCTTTCATTTCTTAAGGTAAGTTTCTAAATTCTAAGTAGAAATAATATGATCTATTCAACTGATTGGTTAACGCAGTAACATATTTACAACAGGGTGAAGAACAATAAAGAGGAGAGGCTCCCGATGGAGTGATAGCTCAGCTGTTAACGTGCTTGCCTGCATGAGCATAGGGTGATCTCCAGAACCCAGGCTGGGTTTGGGGGCACCTCTTGTAATCCCTGTGCTGGTAGGCAAAAAAAAAAAAAAGACAGATCCCTAAGCTTCACTGGCTAGCCTAATGAGTGAACCCTAAACCAACGGCAGACTCTATCTCAAAAGAAGCTGGAGAGTGTCAAATAACTGCACTGCAGCTTGTCCTCTGGCCTCTATCTACACTGATGTACACTCTCTCTCTCTCTCTCTCTCTCTCACACACACACACACACACACACACGTGCACCTGCACACATACAGGAAAAACTCTTATTTTTAGTAAGAAATATATGATTAATAGTACTTTATTCTAAAATAGCAGAATATACAGGCAAACAAAAAGAAACTCTGTTAAGAATAAAAAGCATATATAACAATTATATCTTACAAACAAGCCACAGAATATCTAGGATATACACAGATGTAGGGGTGGTAGTGAAAATAAGACAACAAAAAAATTTCTATGGTACGTTCCTAGCATGGGTATAGAATTTAACAAAACACAAAACTGGTACATCTCAAAATATATGTGATATTTTAAAAAATGATTGGTTGACATATTAAAAATGATTTGTAGTCCAACAAAAACTTCTGAGTAACTGTTATACTCCTGTCAACTGTCGTTTATTTGCAAGTGAAGAAATTCTTTAAAATATATAAACAAGTTTTAATTACTGAGGGAAGAGTAGGCATCTATCTTCTAAAGAGAAATACTCCATAAACTCCATGACAGTAATTTCTTGAGCCTTGTGGGTTGCAAGTGAACTTTCTTTTCTATTATAGAGTTCATTTACACTCGTATTTTAAAGTAAATCATGAAATTTACTTTTAAAAAGTGTAAGGAGCCTCAAATATGCCATGCTATGGAATGCAAATAGTGGAGAAATAAATTTTTAATTTTTCTTTTACCTGAAGATGGCCATATTCTTCATAGGTAAGTAGCTCATCCCCTGTGTGCACACTAAAAATAGAGTGAAGACAAGTTGTGGGCCGTGGATCTTGCTTAAACTGCTGGACCTAGAATCAAATATCAAATATGAATTGTGGTTATTCACGTATTCATCTAAATTGAAGACCATCAGTTATTCTCAAGTAATTTTTATCATAAGGAAAGCTAAAACTTACATGCTGAGGAATGGACAAAGTAGAAAGTCTATCACTAAGGAAAAGTGATAGACAAAGCTCATGATGACTCACTTATTAGACTGAACGCAGCTGTCAAATGACAGATCACAGCACTGAATTAAAATGGAATAGGAAGTGTATGAGCATGGCAGCAACAGTTTGTTGCAATATTTCGCACATTATTTGATTGAGGTTTTTAAAAAACATTTCATTTGCCTACACAGTGTGGTGTTTGCATATGTGTGTGTATTTGTATATGTGTGGGTGTGTATACCTATACAACACAAGCTATTGAAGGTTGGTAGAAAACTTGTGGGGATCAGTTCTCTCCTTCCATCATGTGGGACCCAAGGATTGAACTTAGGTCATCAAGCTTGGTGGCAGGCACCTTTGCCTGCTGAGCCACCATGACAGCCCATCTTATTTGATTATGAGTGAAATACATGTTTTCTATGTAAAACAGGGTCTACTATATAAAACTGTAGTCAACTATACAGTTACCTGGAAATTCTTAACAACGACAGTCAATGGAAAAATACTTTAGACTATATTCTAGTGCAGGTCAGTATGCAAACTTCCCTGCTTCACGGATAACATGTTTTACCTAATTGATAATACAAGTATGTTTTCATTTCTCCTTCACACATCATTACCAAGCTAAGAATTCTATGAAGTTACAGGGCATTTTCTTTATTTACTAATTACATATAATATATATTTTTTTCAATTGGCTGTCTCACCCTATGTTGGCCAAACTGTTTCCAAATAACAAGCCGAGGGGATATATCCACCTCTCTAGAGTAGCTGAGACTATGAGCCAATGGTCCTGTCTTAACCACTGTAGATTACAAAGTTTAAATTCTAAACAATCCGACATATTAATTTCAAAGACCAAAACACCCATCCTCTTTCAGGGCCTGCTTTATTGAACTTGAACAGCATTTTGTGATACCAGTAATGTGCAAAAAAATATATAATAATAATAATGAAAGAATAATAAAAACAAACAGAATGACATATAGCAAGAGATTTCTTCTTTTTCCAAAGAGTGATGCTAATATACAGATGCTTATATTGCTAACTTAGTTCACTCAGCTGAGGAGTCACACATAACTATATTCTTATCTCTTTCAAAATTCTCATCCTTAAAGACTTATCTAAGTGTTATATTGTGTAAGCAACTCAACTGGCCTGCTTTTAGGAAGTGTAGGGTCCTGACAATGTCCTAGGTCAATACCTGCATAGGTATTGACCTTGCATAGCTGACATTGTCAGCTAGGTCAATGTCAGCTAGGACAGCTATAACCAGCCTGCTTCTCTCTCTTCCTCACTTCTGTTCTTATACTCTTTACTGGTCTGACTCTCCTGTGAAACTAAAACAGACATTGTGTTTCTTCAATAGTTCTGGATCCTCACATATTCCCTGTGACAGAAGTGAAAGGAACATTTTGCTCATAGGTCCCTTTCAGAGACATCTGAAGATGGCCAATCAGGTGCTTCCTGATATGCCCATAGGTGGCATCAGGATAGGGGGGTGGTTTTCTTTTTTCTTTTAATTTATTTTTTATTTATTACAATTATTCACTTTGTATCCCAGCTGAGCTCTCCCTTCTACCTTCCCAATCCTGTCCTCCTTCATATCCTCCCATGTCCCTCTCCCAGTCCACTGATAGGAGAGGTTCTCCTCCCCTTCCATCTGACCCTACTCTATCATGATGAGGACTGGCTGCAATGTCCTCCTCTGTGGCCTGATAAGGCTGCTCCCCCCTCGGGGGAAATGATCAAAGAGCCAGCCACTGAGTTCATGTCAGAGACAGTCCCTGCTCCCCTTACTAGGGAACCCACTTGGACACTGAGCTGCCATAAGCTACATCTCTGCAGGGGTTCTACGTTATCTCCATGAATGGTCCTTGGTTAGAGTATTAGTCTCAGAACAGACCCTTGTGCCCAGATTTTTTGGTTCTGTTGCTCTCCTTGTGGAGATCCTGTCCCCTCCAGGTATTTTTATCTCCCCCTTCTTTCATAAGATTCCCTGCACTCTGCCCAAAGTTTGGCTCTGAGTCTCAGCATTTGCTTTGATACCCTGCTGGGTAGAGTCTTTCATAGGCCCTCTATGGTAGGCTCCTGTCTTGCTTCTTGTTTTCACCCTCTTCTGATGTCCATCCCATTAGCCTTTCAAAACTGTACACCTAAAGAAGGGAGGTAGTTTTCAAAGGAAACAAAAGAAAAACTGACATTTGGCTTTTCAACCCATGAGGACTCACCTAGGGAAGGTAGAGAGAGCAGCAGGATATGAAGTTAATACCAATTACTAATGATTTGCTTAATCCTGCCTTCAAAATGAAACTTCTAGAAAGAACCGTAAATGATGGCCTGTGGATAATTTCCAGGTTAGGGAACACACTAAATGCCAGGAAGTAGTAGAACTCCACAATTCCCAGGAAGAAAAACTCAGTACTCATGACCGATTGGCATCTTGCTAATATGTGCTCATTTGTCTACTCATTTGTATCCTTTATGATACCTGATATAATAAATGATAAGTGAAGTATTTCCCTGTATTCCTTGAGCTATTAAAATGAACTACTGATCCTAAAGAAACTCATGGGAATTCAAATTTATAGTGAAGTCAGATATGTGGGTAACCTGGGGCCACTACTTAGTAGTTCTGATAAGTCAGGCGCTTGCCTAACCTGCCTTCAGTGACTTATAAGTCAGGCGCTCACCCAGCCTGCCTTCAGTGACTTAGCATCAGTAGTTTATGTCATCACCTGCCATTCCCAGGTGTGGTGCATTTCCATTGATCCTACTAACATGTGTACCCTTTAAAAGGTCCCTCTTGACATCACAGCCCTCTATCTAGTTCTCTCTGTCTCATGGTCTGTCTGTATCTCTCTCTTATGTCCCCACTGCAAGATGGCCTTTCACTGCTTCCCCACCCCAATAACCTCTTGCATTAGATCTGTTGTATGGTGTGATTTCTTAGTAGCACACTGTGGCCAGGACCTGCCACTGTACCTTACACCACCTAATCCTAACACTAGTGGACTCTGAAGTCAGAGGCAGTTTTAGAGTTCAGAGCCTTCAGCCCCTGGAATCTACATTAAGTTGAGACAGTTGCTTATATACTTGAATTAAACAGCAGAATGTTGGATATAGCAAAATGAAGGTTTGATTGGCATGAAGCACCCATACATTTAGTATTTGAAGTAATATAAATAAAGAAAAGTTCTCCTTGGTTCACTTTAGGAGCTATGTTGTCCAAAATGGTAGCCACTTTTTACAAAGTGACTAATCAAATTACAATGAATTAAAATTGCATAAGGTTATAGATTCAGTTTAGAAATTCACTTTCTGGCTACATTTCAATTGTTCCATGCCCTCTTAAGGATACTGTATATGCTCAATATGGACACAGAATATTTCTATCATGACAAAAAGTTCTGTCCTAGGACTGAGAGACCTGGCCCCATGGTCCCGCACATATGACTAAAGTCAGCAAAACCAAAGTCAGAATCTACCAGCAAAATGTCAAAAGGCACAAGGGGTATCCTATAAAATTCAGTGCTTTGGTCATAACATAGCCACTGCTCTTATGAATTCTCTGCAGCTACGATTTCCCGCATAAGAACAAGCCAACATGCAGTCAAAATACCCACTGGCAGCACTAACTGGACTCAAGAGTTTGTAAGAAAACAAGAAACAGGGAGGAAAAAAAAAACGATGGGGCTGGATTGATGGCAGAGCAGATAGGAGCTCACAGGCATCTGGAACTTCAAAAACCCAGGGGATCCAACACTCTCTTCCGGCCTCTAAGGACACTAGGCACACATGTAGTACACAATCATACATGCATACAAAACACACACACATCTAAAATAAATAATTTTTGTAAGTAGAGGACATCAAGTGCAGGTGAACATGTTGGGGTGGATATGATCAGAACATATCATATGTACAAAATTGTCAAAGACTAATAAATATTCTATTAAAAACAACAACAAAATGAGGAGACAATTGGGGTTGTCTATTTTCCATTTATGACATAACTGAGAAACTCGAAGAAGGTGAACATTCTGTCTCCACAGAACACAAGCAATAGCCTGGACCCGCACAATCAGAAGCCACTCCTGTCTTGCCACCATGGTTATCTCAAAGCCATGAACATCATTCTTGACTCCTAATCAAAATATATGGCTGAGCTGAAATAAAATTCATGTCCCCTGCTGTCCTAGTTGTTTGTATCCCTGACTCTGAGGAAACACTTCCCAGATTTTCCCTCCACGATGCTAGTCTTCTGTTAGTCCCCGCTGAGTTTCCAGGCCCGGCAGCCAGCACCTATCACCCTAGTATAGCATACCATCTTTCGCTTCCCCAAACTCTCATTTCATATACACCACAGGACAACCCCAATAGAGTCTTCAAGAAGCTCTCAAACTTCCCTGTGAGATTTCAACGACTAGGCTTGCATGGTCTGCATTTCTCTCAATACTTCAATCTTAAAATCCCTCAAAGAACAGCATATGAAACTGAGCGTTCAATGGCTTTTCCAGCCAGAAGCTCACAACACTTCCACAGTCCTTTCCCAAAACATGGTAAGGTCTGTCACATCAATAACCTCACTTCCTGGTACCTAATTTCTGAACTAGTTTGCTCTTTTGTTACTCTAATAAGACATTAATGGAAACCAAGATGGTGGAGGGAAGGTGGGTTTATTTAGCTCATAGGTTACAGTCCATCACAGAAGAAAGTCAAGACAGGAACTCCAACAGGAAACAAAAAGCAAAAAAATAAAAAAAAAAAAAAGAAAGAAAGAAATTACTGTCCACCAGCTAGCTTTTCATAGCTTGCTTTCTTACACAGCCTAAAACAACATTCTCAGGTGTGACACT